ACTACATAACAATGAAACATTGCACTGTATAACAATAAAACATTACACTACATAGCAATAAAACACTACACTACATAAAAATAAAACATTGCACTGTATAACAATAAAACATTGCACTACATAGCGATGAAACATTGCACTGTATAACAATAAAACATTACACTACATAACAATAAAACAGTGTACTGTATAACAATAACACATTGCACTACATAACAATGAAACATTACACTACATAGCAATAAAACACTACACTACATAAAAATAAAACATTGCACTGTATAAACATTGCACTACATAGCAATGAAACATTGCACTGTATAACAATAAAACATTACACTACATAACAATAAAACAGTGTACTGTATAACAATAACACATTACACTACATAACAATAAAACATTACACTACATAGCAATAAAACACTACACTACATAAAAATAAAACATTGCACTGTATAACAATAAAACATTGCATTGTATAACAATAAAACATTGCACTGTATAACAATAAAACATTGCATTGTATAACAATAAAACATTGCACTGTATAACAATAAAACATTACACTACATAACAATAAAACATTGCACTCTATAACAATAAAACATTACACTACATAAAAATAAAACAGTGTACTCTATAACAATAAACCACTACACTGCATAAAAAAACTTTAACTACACACTCTACTGCATACAAATAATATATTAATTGCATAACAAAAAAACACTACACTGGGTATCAACGGAACATCCCACGGCATATCAATGAAACACAAAACATAAATGAAAGACTGCACTGCAGCTCCTGTTCGATATGCAACACAAAGTACACAAATAGTGTAAAATACATTTTCATGGAATGCGAACACGCGCTGCGCGACGACCCCTTCCTTTAAACTATACGTGTATTTGCACTGTGATCGGTCACAGAAGGACGAGCATAAGAATAACACGATGTATCATATGGATAAGCAAAGCGAAAATTTCAAAATACGCAGATAATATTAATATTAAAACATGAAAATTAATAAGGAATGTACACCCTGGTACCACCCACGATTACTAGAGTCTGCCATGATGTGTGTAAAAGATATACGACGACAGAGAAAAGTAACCACAATGAATCTTAACAAACGCTCGATGGCCATCAACTCTGACAATCACTTACCATAAAATTTTTAGCTCTATGGTATATCCCAGAATTGGACAAGATGAAATTCTCACAGAAGTACTTCATAAACATGCTTTGGGTAATATTATGAAATAACATGCTGGACAATAAGTAACTCACTCGTGGTGTATATTATAAGTTTATGCGAACGTTTCTGTTGTTACACTACTATCAGGGGGGAATTCTTTTCCTCTAGGGTTCTCCACAATGTCGTACATGCGCGGCGCGGCGCGGCGCGGCGCGACGACTGCCGCCCTTTAAAATATTTCCCGAGATTATACCACAGCCAACTGCCCAACTGAAAGCAACGGTTCGGTGAATTAACCGTTCATTTAATCCAAATAACATATAATATTAATATTTGTATTTCTGTAGCATTGTATTTTGTGTCGGAACTAGGCTACCAACACAAAACCCGCGTCTCACTCGTCTCATCAAAATGCTCTCAACAAATATATCTCGTAGAAAAGCGCCACCTGCGGTGAATCCCTTTTTATCAAACCCCGTTGGTGTTTAACTTCAAACTATATAATCAAAACTATTCGAAAGTAGTCATTTGTTTTGCTTTTTAACATTTATATCGCGGCATATCTTGTAAATGTGGTGATTGTCATCGAAGCAGTGTTTACGTGTTGTATGCGGGGGGGGAGGCGTAACAAATGCACCCATGATACACTGCGAAAGGTGGAAGTTACAGAACGTGCTTGATCACTGTAGAGGAAAGACGTGCCTGAGAACACTCGGGATTAGCTGAAAGGTCAGTAGGTCACATGACATCATTGCTCGGGAGCTTTACCGTACATTAGTAAGGTCTTGTACCGTCGTATCGTGCTTGTGTTCCAACCTGATTTTGCTCTACATCAGCTGTATAATCTTTCTTCGTATCAGTTCATGTCTTTGTTTCAACATCTGGCACGACTTCATGATTAGAATTTCCCTCGCCAGATGCTTTGATATCATGTGTATGGCAAATATTTAGATGACGCGCCTAAATCATGTAGACGTGTTTCTCAAGTTGTTCCCTAATGTTCTTGTTTGTGAGACTTGTACACTGTACGTTTTTCATTTTCAGAGTAATATGGCATCTGAAATTAGAAGGAACAACGTTGGACAAAACCGGAAACAAAAGAAAGAGCCCAATCAAGGCTATGATGCAGAGTTTATTCCCGAGCTAGAAAAGAAATATACCTGTCCAGTATGTCTAGTGGCTATGAGGGATCCTGTTCAAACCAAATGTGGGCATAGATTTTGTAAGCCCTGTATGAAAGGAGTCTGTGGGTAAGACGAGTCTACCTTAAATGTACTATATATAACTATAATTTCTTTACTGTATAGGAATTATGTTGAATTACTGACTGTTTTTTTTTAGGAACAAAAGATATGTAAAATGTCCAGTTGATAACACGTGGTTCGATAGTATTGGTGACGTGAGTATATTAATTAACCAATGATTTTACTTGCCGTTTCTACATGGTGTGCCAACAAAGCCATCCTGGCGAGTAACTTGGACATATTCTATGTTTGGTATGCGTGGTTTTTAATAAATTCATCATTCAAATTTACAGATGTGTAGAAATTATTTTATGTCAGATTTCCCTGTATGGAAAACAATTCTATGATTAAGGAACATTGGTAAAACCCCTCGCCATCAAACTGATAGTAAAATATTACCCATTTCCCGACTACAGACTGAGATCATTTTTGTGTCTCGCGAGAGTTGACCGTACTGCATAGAAAGTGCCAACTCTGAATATCCTACATTTGAAACTACAGCTGCAAAACAGTTGAAATAACTTGTCGCTTGGAGCGCTATGTATATTTTGGTAATGTATGCAGAAAATGTTTAACCTTGGCATTCCAGGTGTTTGATGATATTGCTACAAGAAGAGAAGTATTGTCACTATTAGTGTTGTGCAATTATCAACCAAATGGATGTGAATGGAAAGGTGAACTAAGAGAATTGCAGGTAAATTACTATAAAGCGAATATTTCTACTCGGGAGCACACGTACCTTGTACTATTTTTTTTTATTTAGGTATTTTATTTAATGTATATTTTTGTAGAATCATCATGCGCCAACGATTTTAATGAAATGCTATTCTTGTTTACAATAAAGCACACTAGTTACCACTTAGAGGTACTAGTATATCAAATTTTCAATGTCATGAATATATCTCGACTCGAGAAAATACACGTCAAAGAAATAGTTGAACAATTCGTCAATTGACTTGGAAATATTGATTCAGTTCAGCATGTGTATATATTTGTTGGGATATTAGAAATCCACTATTGCGCGATAAATGGGATGTTATCGGACAACGCTTGGTAAATACTGACCGAAAACAATTTGGTTAACGATTTAATATATGGCGATTGGACGACAGGGCACATCGAATGAGCCGAACTTTCCGCCCATGAGAGATTCTAAGCGTAAAATGCCGTGGGTACGAGGTACTAAAATGTACGCATGCCATCTATTACAGGAACACAATTCAATTTGTCCGTTTGAGAAGTTGACCTGCCCAAACAGTTGCAGTGAACAATTCTTTAGAAAGTGTAGAGAGAACCATTTAGAAGAATGCCCGAGACGACAGGTAGATTGTAAACACTGTGGAGACAAAATGATATTCAATGATTTGATGGTAAGTGAACTATTCTGTACATATCGGAATATCTCGTGGGTCGCCCAGATACAATAGGATTATATCTTGTTCTTTCAGACTTGGTCTTTATGTTGGTAATACAAAATTCTAACGCGATAATGTGCAAATATTTTAATTGTTACATAAAATAGTCGTATAGTATAATTAGTTGCCAGTTGTGTGGCTGTTCAGGGACACAAATTTCTCGCCCTAGGTCACGAATTTTGTCAACAACGCACATGTCCCCATTTTAAAACGGTATACGCTATAGAAGTTCAAGAGCATATAATAAGCCAATCACGACTGAATGCAAATTGCAATAATTTCTTGGGGTGCATATTGAAATTGTGATGGGCGATTATACGCAAAAGATGCTGATATGTTCGTTGCGAACATGGTGACATAAATGACCACGCCCATATTTTAGAAACCACGTAAGCCCAAAATGCAACGCGATGTTTAGTTAACCGAATTTGATTACAAGCACCTAGATAATTTAAACGTCCACATACTGTAATTAAATTTTGACCATATGGTAACCTTCTAGCTTTAGTTGCTGGGAGTTAGTGGAGCGCTTTACAGCAACACAAATCTGTTGCCCGAAGATTAAGTTTGGTTAATTGTTAATTGAACGCAGATTTGTAATTTCGATGTGGTTTTCATTGCAAAAGTGGGTGTAGTTTATAAAATATGGGCGTGGTAGTTTTTTAAC